TGTAATCTTTAATTCCTTCTGGTTCCCTCTAGTGTCCAACCTTCAAAGTCTCATCCTATCATTTTTTTTTAAAGAATTCAAAACAGCAGCATTTTCCCACGGCAAGGATTCTTATAATTAATTCTAAAATCTTACTTCAAATCCATCTGGACCCCTAGTCGGTTTGTAACTTTCCAAAATCAAAGTTCTAATCACCCTTCTGCTGTTTATTACCCCCCCCCCCATTTTTTAAAAAGTCCTTAAACTTGTATTTAAAACTACTTTCCCTAAGGTGATTTTCTGGATTTTTTTCCCATTTTGTCTCTCATAGTTGAGGTATACCTATGATGAAAATTACAGGCCTCTCTCATCTTTTTAAGTGGGAGAACTTGCACAATTGGTGGCTGACTAAATACTTTTTTGCCCCACTGTAAATAACAAAATTGTAGTTGAGGTATACCTATGATGAAAATTACAGGCCTCTCTCATCTTTTTAAGTGGGAGAACTTGCACAATTGGTGGCTGACTAAATACTTTTTTGCCCCACTGTAAATAACAAAATTGTAGTTGAGGTATACCTATGATGAAAATTACAGGCCTCTCTCATCTTTTTAAGTGGGAGAACTTGCACAATTGGTGGCTGACTAAATACTTTTTTGCCCCACTGTAAATAACAAAATTGTAGTTGAGGTATACCTATGATGAAAATTACAGGCCTCTCTCATCTTTTTAAGTGGGAGAACTTGCACAATTGGTGGCTGACTAAATACTTTTTTGCCCCACTGTAAATAACAAAATTGTAGTTGAGGTATACCTATGATGAAAATTACAGGCCTCTCTCATCTTTTTAAGTGGGAGAACTTGCACAATTGGTGGCTGACTAAATACTTTTTTGCCCCACTGTAAATAACAAAATTGTAGTTGAGGTATACCTATGATGAAAATTACAGGCCTCTCTCATCTTTTTAAGTGGGAGAACTTGCACAATTGGTGGCTGACTAAATACTTTTTTGCCCCACTGTAAATAACAAAATTGTAGTTGAGGTATACCTATGATGAAAATTACAGGCCTCTCTCATCTTTTTAAGTGGGAGAACTTGCACAATTGGTGGCTGACTAAATACTTTTTTGCCCCACTGTAAATAACAAAATTGTAGTTGAGGTATACCTATGATGAAAATTACAGGCCTCTCTCATCTTTTTAAGTGGGAGAACTTGCACAATTGGTGGCTGACTAAATACTTTTTTGCCCCACTGTAAATAACAAAATTGTAGTTGAGGTATACCTATGATGAAAATTACAGGCCTCTCTCATCTTTTTAAGTGGGAGAACTTGCACAATTGGTGGCTGACTAAATACTTTTTTGCCCCACTGTAAATAACAAAATTGTAGTTGAGGTATACCTATGATGAAAATTACAGGCCTCTCTCATCTTTTTAAGTGGGAGAACTTGCACAATTGGTGGCTGACTAAATACTTTTTTGCCCCACTGTAAATAACAAAATTGTAGTTGAGGTATACCTATGATGAAAATTACAGGCCTCTCTCATCTTTTTAAGTGGGAGAACTTGCACAATTGGTGGCTGACTAAATACTTTTTTGCCCCACTGTATCAATGTTATACTAAATCACATGGGCAGTCACAATCATTTTGACACAGTTCTAAAGTTGGTTAATTTATAGAAACTTAGGAAAATTTCCAAATTTCCTATTACGTCTTCATTAAAGCTTCCTAACTGCTTCTCCAGAAGATACTGCTGATAAATGTAACTTCTAACATTTCTGCCCTCCCCAGTATTCGTATCAACATATTATGTCATATCCCTCAGCCTTGAAAAAAATGAATTGATTGGGAAAGCAACCATTTGCTAAAGACCTGAGTCCAAATAAGAATGTGATTAGAAAGTTTGACTTTTATTTGCAATAATCTATGAAGGCTATTCTTGTTTGCCACCCAAAGTACCTTCCAGTAGATGGGTGGCTATATGTTTGTTTAATTAATAAGGCAGAGAAAATCAAATACAAGGCAAGCCCTAGCTAATTTCTTTTAAACATTGCCAACAGAGAAAAAAGATAGTGACTATATAATGTAGAAAAACTAGATATATTATAATGATTGAAATAAAATAAACATGACAAAAGAAAAACATACTGAACAGAAAAAAAATCCATATAATACTATAGATTTTAAAAATCTGAAGGTTCTTTAACTCATTTGATTAGGTTTTGTCCAGCTATAGCCTTATTTTGGTTTCAAATTACACATATGCTAGTACAATTCCGGGAAGAAATATTATACTTAAGGAGCTCAATGTAATATTGAATTATATTCCCAAACATGGAATTTGTCATCTCATGAAAAGCTTTGGCTCTGCTGAGCTTGGGTCACATCAAAGAATAATTTTACATAACTGAAAAGAAACTTACTCTCCTCATTTTAAGGAAAAGATCCAGAATATGGGTTTGTTTATGCACTTTTGAAAAATATCTTTGTTTTAAAAATGAGGAAATTATGCAATAGATACTAATACATTGCTAGTCTAGATTTAATGCTAAGGTTAAAGGACTGCAGTAAGTTTATAGGTAGTCCTTGCTTAACAGCCCTAATTGGGGCCAGCAACTCCATCACTAAGTGAAGCAGTCGTTAAGCTAAACATCACATTAAACCCCACTTAGTGACGGTAGTCCCGGCAGTCCTGGTTGAGATTGTTAAGTGAATCACCCGCAGTTAAGCGAGTTATCACATGACTGTGACTTGCAATCTCCTAATGGCTTTCCCATTGACTTTGCTGCTTGGAAGCTGTCTGGGAAGCTCGCAAGTGGCGATCACATGACCATGAGATGCTGTAACTGTCATAAATGCACAACAGTTACCAAGCACCTGAATTGTATGTGACCGCAGGAACGCTGTGACAGTCATAAGTGCAAGGACCAGCCATAAGTCATTTTTTTCAGTGCCGCTGTAACTTAGAATAGTTGCCAAACAAACGGTCATTAAGCAAGGATTATCTGTATCTTATTATCTATAGGACAGAGGAAAGTCACTAGACACAGAATGGAAATTGCCCAATTTTGTTAGGTGCCTACCATGGAAGGGTACATATAAATACCTATCTTGTAACAATAGTTTCATTTCATTTTAATTTAAAAGGAAAAAACAGATTCATTGTAGGATGAGGCAAACTTACATTAGGTCTGTTCCCAAAAGCAGCATAAAAAGGCTGTTCACATGGACCAAATAAGTTCTTAATATCATTTAAACACTCAATTTTGAATTTCTCTGGCTTTTTTTCTATCACTTCCCTGCAAGGAGAAATATGAAATATAATTATTTCCACTTAAAGTCAGTTCACTTCACATTTTTTGTGAAATATAGAAACAATTTTATTTTAAGTAAGCTATAAATATTCTGTAAGTGATAGAGCCACTTCACATTTTTGAAAATTTAAAAGAAAATTAATGTATCAACCAAAAAGATGGTAAGTGAAAAAGCATGTTTTTCACATGAAAGGACCAATGCATAACACTACCAATTTAAAAGTAAGGCAGAAACAATGGAATGTTATGCTGTTAGTAGAGAGCTGCGGCCAGTCAAAGCAGATCAAGTTGATACTGTTATCTGTCACTGATTTTTTTTATGTTTAACTTTATGTTATTTGTAAGCTGCTCAGAGCCTTCAGAAATGGAGTGGCATACAAAGTGAAATAATAAATATATACATTGCATATGCTTCTGAATTAGTTGAATATGAGTAACTCTATGCTGGCTTGCCAAGATAGTCTCTATATTAGAGATGTCAGCTTGAATAGAATAGTCCAAGCATGTTTGGCGTAAGATCGGGCTTTGATTCTTCCTTGCGCGTACTGGCTAAATTGTGCCAAAATTAATTGATACTATTACTGCTGCAGGTTGGAAAGGGAGGACTAAGCCTAGAAACTTATATCTAATCCATGTCAGTAAAAATCATAATGCAAAAGCCTCAATTGATTGAAACCATGATAAGCAGTGGAAGTCAATATCTATATGTTTTCTCAAGAACATCTGAATATCTGTGGTGACAACTGTAACATATGGAAGTCTACAAAACATCTGTCTATCTTGTCAGGTAATGGCATGGACTGGAAGGAAGGTTGGTTGGTTCATGAAACTAAGAAAAGAGAAAGGATGTAAGTGATTTGAATGAAGATGGTTTGATCTTGTAGAGTGGAATTAATGAATCATAAATGAAAGGGCTAAAATGTACATCAGAAAGTATGAATTGATGTCATTAGGAAACTACAGATAGCTGGTTGAATATTACATTCCTTTGAATGGCGATAAGGGAAGAATTAGTTACAAGTTTTGGAAAAACTATGGAACATTCTAAATAAATACAATTCATGGAAAAAGTATTCTGTTACGTAAAATAAATAGATGTGGAAACAAGACGAGAGAATACAGAAAAAGCCATTGGACCATTCAAAGCCCCTGGAAGGAATGAGAATGGTGAATGCTGAATATCTATTTCTAAAAAGGTATGTGTGCTTCAAACATGGTTTAAGTCTCCATAAGTTATCAATCATAAGTAAGTGAGGCAAAGAAATTAATTAAACCTAAAAGCATGATTGATGTATTCAACTTACTGGCTTTTAATATAAAACCATATGTAACTAAAATCACACATTAAAATAATGCCGTCATGATATCATACCAGAATAAATGACAAAAGCAATTCTCGCAGTTCCTGAAGTTATATCTCACAACAGCCTAAATATCAGAAATAAGATGTATTTTGCTTATATACCTATGAAAAGCAGAAAACAGGCTGCTAGGTGATAACATCAAAGGACCCTTGGGTAAAATTGTTCCTTTATCATTGACCCAGTGTAAGTATCCTCTTGTCATATCTGCCATTCCAATTGCACGAGCAGAGCAATACAGAAACTTATAGCCATTCCTAGGAAAGAAAAGGTTTATTAATATTCTAGATTATGACCATCTTGCCTGATGAAGTAGATCTGTAAACAATGGAAACTCCTCCTTTGATTAGTAATGATCATGCATTTGCAAAGATGACGCAATCTTGTTTTAGCATTTTGACCAGTAAAAAAGAAACTAATACATAAAATTGATATCTTTAAATAATGTATATGCTTCCTTTTACTCTAGAATAATTTGTGTTCATTCTGAAATGCTGCAAGAAATTGAGCCCATTATTGTTCAAGTTGCCTTTTCTTTCAAATTTCTACAGAAGCTACTTTTTCATACATCATGTTGCTCCTTCAGCTAACACAAAAAGAAAGAGGAACCTAAAGTCGTCTCTTTCATGTTTGTGCATAGTAAGACCTCTTGCATACAGAATTTATAGCAAGTGTAGAGAATACAGTTCCTGAAACTCTACAAAATAAATTCAAAACATATTGATACTCTCATATTAGAATTCTGGGGTGGGGAAAGAATCAACTGAATGAGATTGCACCCTGAAGTCTGGGTCTAAAAAGACTGACAACCCCTGATTTACAGCATATAGTGATACTGTTGTAGTCTATATGATATCCAGAGCAGCATTTACTTCTTGATATAAGTGTACCATATATCAATACCGGTTTACTCCAGATTAGAAGGATTCTAATCTTTGGATTCCATGTTAGCACGTAGAAATGGAATGAAAAAGGTTATAAATATGACTCAAACACACAAATTATTTTACAGGCATTGTTACTTACTCATTGATAGAATGGTAGAGTTTTGCAATACCCTGATGAGTCCAATCTTTGCCAAGCTGTGGTAGAATCTGTCCTAAAGCATCAGACCTGAACCAGGAACAAATAAAAACAAAAAAACCCAATGGTTTTAAATCAACTCAGATATTAAAAAGCTACACCTGACAACTCCTAATTTATTTTTCTGATTAAGCTGTCTTTCTCTTGCCTAAATCATTGGGTCAAGTAACTTCAAACACTTGAACAGAATTAAAAGAATAGAGGCAGGCAAAATAGGAAAGTTGTTTTCTAACAACTATTCAAAGCTTATCCATGTGAAACAAACGAATTTTAACATCATTGTAGAGTTTCATCAGAAGGAAAACTATTTTAGCTTACTTGGTTATTGTCCCATCAATATCAGAAATGATTATTTTGTCATTCCAGTTCCATAAGTATATTGTCCCAGCACAACGGCAAGTTCCTTGATACTGGGTTGTAATGCTGAACACAACATCATTTGGTCCATCTCTAAGCTTCAGTTTCTCCTTTAATGTGAAGAGGCATAAAAATGGTAACAAAAAATAACATACAGTTTCTTTCCAAATTATTTTACATTTCAATATTGAAAACTGAAGTTTGAGAATACATTGAATTCTAGGAGTTCTACAATAATTTATATCCTTTGTATATTTATATTTATATCCAAATCTGACTATAAACCAGTTAAGCCAAAATATAGGAATTATCATGAATCATTTGATAAACACACAAAAATAGATAGAAGTTTCATTCCAGTAAAAATGGAAACACTGTGCCAATATGTGCTTCCCCAGTTTAAATGATGAATCCCTGTACAACATGGGCTAGAAGCAGAAGCACAGTAACCAATTGTGAAACATGTCATTATACCTGGGTATCACGTCGTTATTATATGCAATTCAACTACTCAACTTCTAAAGATCTTGGGAGTTAATGTTAGCATTATTTTTCAAACAATGCAGGCCTTAATAACAGAACTGTAATAAGATGAAAGGTAGTCTTAACTCTAAAGAACATTAATAGACTGGTGTACAAGAAACACTATTCTTTTAAAATCTGTTTCTAGTTTTGTACTTACTTCATTCAGTACAACACTGAAATAAAATCAAATATTAGTACTAATTACTAATAATTAATAGCATTAATACTATTTTAAAATAGTCCATACTTTATATGATAATATAACCCAAATACCATTAACATTTAACATCTATCAATGCTATTATGCATTACTACTTATTTTCCAGCTAAAAAACAAATTAAGAATTGCTTGAAATATAGTTCATGTCAAATCTTTCTAAGGATCAAAATCCAAATAGATCTTAATATTCTCAATTACATGTATGGAAAAACAGTAACCTAGTGCAGAAAGTTTTCACTGATCTAATCATTTCTTCAAAAACACTCTAGCTAAGTTTTGTTAAACTTGATTCATAATTATTTAATATTGGAAAAAAATAATCACTTACAATTTGATCTGAAGACAACCTAAGTGACTTTCTATAAGTAGTGTTCCCAGGGCTTGAATATTCAAGTGGAGTTGAATCTACTATTAAGGATTCTTTTAGTTCCTGTGAACCTTCATCGTCACTAGAAGATTCATCATCTGGAGGCCTAAGATGACATTGACATAGTAAGATGTACCAGACTTTTCAGAGATTATTTAAATATAGTATCTGGTATTTTGTAATATGTAACAGCATACTTGGATAAAATATTTCAAAAGGAAGAAGCATGTTTATTACTTTAAGAGAAAAGCAATTTAGACATAGATCTTTTTTGTTTTTGCAACATGATTATTTGTTTTGAGGAAAGCTCTCAAAGATACTTCTTTAAACTCGGTGGCTTAATTTAAAAGCTGTTTTTATAACATTGCTTATAATTAAGCCTAACTAAGATACTGTTTAGTCAAATGTATTCGAGTATATAGAACTTGTGTAGTTGTTAAAGTATTTGACTAGGATCTGGGTGATCCAAATTCAAATTGATCCTTAGTCATGGAAACTAACTGAGTGACTTTGGGTCACTCATTGTCTCTCAGCCAAATTTTTTAAATTCTGAGTTTTAGAAAAAAAAAATTGGCACACCGGCCATAATATTCTAGCACTTTTTGAAACAACAATTAAGATGGAGTATCATGATGCAATTTTCTTATATGGATTCAGATTACTAGTCTATCCAGCTCACAATTCTCTATACCAATTGGTAGCAGCATTTCAGGGTTTAAGACAGGGGTTTTAAAAGTGTTACCTGCAGATTCCACAGACTGAGGATAAAACCTTTTGTATGAAAAGCTCTATCAATGGCCTACAACCCTTCCCAAATATCAAAACAATATGAAGACAAAAATTCCTATTTTCTAGAAAGGCAAGATACTGTCTTTAATTACTAATTTATTTCAAAACAACATACTGGTTTTCAACTTGTTCCTTTAAAGTTGTTGATTGGTCATTTTTTGGAGCCTCAGATTTCCCATCCTTTGTTTCTGGAAGCTAGCATCAGAAGAGTATGTTAAGACCACATCATTTTGCATTGCCACCTGAACAGAAAGATAACTGTTGCATTTCCGAATCACATATCAATCTAGCTGCAAAAAGTTGTAATAGCATCAATATTTTATTTAATCATTTATTTAACATTACTCCTAAACCAAGAACAAGATGCAACATTTATTGAGCAGACTCCAGAGTTACTACACAAATAACAACATACAAATGAATACAGCAAATTTGCAATTACACTGATTGACACACACAAAATGGAATTTTATGCTGAAAAATAAAGTGTTATGGCAGAATAGATTTCATTACCAGAGCAGAATTATTACCAATAGCATTCTTATATAGTTGGTTGATAATTACATAATAATAAAAATACTCCAATCAAAACTAAAGCAATATAATTGCTGAAAAATACTGAGCTAGGAGCTTTAAAAAAAGAATGTCTGCAATTTCTTACACTATACCAAAATGCATAACTTTAACTTCTTCAGGTACCATTATGTTGAAAGTTTCCTTCTTGACAACTCAATGACTGCTGATAGCACCAAAGGAAAAATTTCAATAACACGTCAAGATGTGGAGTAAACAGAGTTAAATTGCTCAATTATTCTGCCAAAAGGTGGTCTTTTTACAGTCTACACTTAAAACACAGAAGACTTATCAGGCAGCATAAATATATATATAAATGACAAATAGTTTAAAATTAAATATGAACTGCATTAAACTAACATTAGAGTATGCGATGCGAGTGACACAAAGTGAATAATATATACAAGTAAAACTTTATTCCATACCTGAATGTGTTTAGCCCATATTTCTGAACTATGATGTATAAAGCTTAGGATGTGACATCTAAATTAGTCCAACATTTACAGCTGATGTGGTTCTTTTTACCTGCTTAATCAAGCTGTCCTTTTTACGCCAGAACCACCACCTTCCAGACTTCTTCGGCATCTTGTCTTTAATCCAGGATTCAATTGTTGTCTAAATACATTAATATTTAATGCACATTCACAATGCCATTTATTTTTTGGTAACATACATAGCATGGTACAATGCAGATATATTTTTAATAATGCCATTGTTTGATTGTATTAAACTTCCTACACATGTATATCTTCTCTTTAGGCACATTTGGGAATAGTTGTACAGCCTTCATGGAATCCCTCTTCTTCTCTAGAAAAAGAGAAACAGCTCCCTGTGCCTGGCTCAAATACCAGTATTGCATACTGCAGGAGGACACTACCAAATCAATCCCCACTAACTTCTCATAGTGTGTTCTGACTTGCAGATGATTCTTCTTCCAGCTCACTGGAAGAAAAAAAACTAGATTAAAGAACTCTTCTGCAATTTAGAACTTGGAATAAAATGGTCCAACCATATAAAAATAATAGGCAGGGATATATCAATGCATATGGCAATACCAAAACTGGACCTCACTTAAACATATCAAAGCATGCTGAAATCATATACTTCCATCCACCTATCCATTAATGTGTGTGTGTGTGCGCGCGCATATATATTTTCATTCCTTTATTTGCAATAATCTAAAGCAACTCCTTCACTTTCTTCTTCAGTGAATATTGTTATTTCTTATGTAATAAATGGACTTAGGAAGAAAGTTCCAAATTACAGAAAGTGAAGCTGTTTTCTAAATTAACTGTTATATCAGGGAAGGAAGTACAATTTTGAAGGATGATAATATTTCAATAGTGACAGCAGCTCAAGGCAGCATATTTGAGGCCACCTTAGATTTTTATACCAACAACACTATATCAAGTGGTCTGGACTGAGAAACAGCAACTAGGCCAAAGTCATCTTGTGAGCACCATAGATAAATATAGATTTGAACATTGGGCTTCTTGGTTATCTTTCATGTACTATTTGCAAGGTCATCCAGTACAAACTGCATTGTTGAACAATGACATAATGTGCATTACAATGTCATTATGCAAAGCCTTTTGCCCTTGCATCCCAACATTTCATCATATGCCCCATCTTTCCTGCCCCCTTTTGCTCAGCTGGTATTTCTAGCTTCACAGAATTATTCAACATTCCTAATATCTCTTTGGGTATGTTTTCAAGCATAAAGATTGTCCCTTTTGAACACTTTCTTCTCCCATGACTTTGGTATGTCTCTGCATCTATGACCTAATGTGGGTAGCCTGCTTTCATGGAATATTTACCATCATTAACTTACCTGTGGTAAGCTTTTCTGGAACACCTGCAAGCTGAGAATCATGGGAGCAGCCAATGCCCAATTATAATACCTATTATAAACAGAACAGTTTATCATTATGAATATACTACACATTCTTTGCTGTAAACAGAATGTTTTATTTCTTGTAGCTTGTTCTCAGTTCCCTGGCAGCTATAATAAAGACCACTGCAATTCCTCATTATCTTCTCTGAATAAAATTGGATTTTAATTTTAAATTATTTTAAGGACAAGCATCCAATAGAATGACAGCCACATTATCTATCAATACAGTAAAATTAGCATAAAATAATTTAGCAATAGGAACAGAAGATTCAGATAACATTACCTGTTGTATATCCTTATTACCAAGTTAGGATTATCTATAAGACCTGGATTTTCAGCAAATTCATGATAAGTAATTATGTGTTCCATGAATTTTTCTGCAATGTAAAGACATTCCATTAACTGATTGAAACATGTTTTATCTTCTTATAAACAATCTCTTCATTTGGCTCCTCTTATATAATTATGCTCTTTTTGCCATTGGATATATTTTCATTCACTTGTTATGCTCTGTCTATATCTGCTGCATGCACCTTCCATTGCAGCATAATATATATCAACTACTTCAAGGAAGTAATGGGGAATATGAGTATATAACTCTAAAAGTGCCTAAAATAATTTAATAATAAATATTTAAAATATGTATGCCACCCTTCAAAACATTAATTAATTAAAAACAGTGAAGAAAGGAACAGCTATCTAGAAGGAAGCTGCAAGTAAAAATCCACAAACGGCAATGTGAGACGATTACATGAGAAGAGGCACATTCAATTTCATAGTTCTCACAGTAAAAAGATCTAAACTTTTTCTTATTTTAATATAATATACTAAACTTTTTCTTATTTTAGTATAATATACTAAAGGCATAATCAGATCTTTCCTATTTTTGTAGCACTTCAGGAGAAGCTTGTACATTTCCTTTCAAGAGATAACTCATTAAGATCATGTTTTCAATCTCTGTATCTCTGCTAACTTGAGCATGGAAATTGACTGAATCAGTACAACTGGGCCAACATGGTTTACTTGTCAAAAATAAATTATTTTTAGTAGTCTCCTGTAGTAAATGAGGTCATATTCACGGTTCCTATGTAATTATTTCTGAAAGGAGACAAAATCTGATTAAATGAAGATGAATTGTAGGAGAGGCAGTATTTGCGACCAAATTCGGAGGGCGGAACGGATTAACTGTATTTACATTGAACCTTATGGGAAACC